CCCCAAAACCCCAAAACCCCAAAACCCCAAAACCCCAAAACCCCTTAGGAATTCCTACTATTGAACTTATGTATAATGCTTTATCTCTTTGACTGTCTTTCTTCAATGTATTTATCCTCGTCATAATGAAACAAGCCCTTGAATTCTCCCCAGTAGATGGAAGCAAGGAGGGTAGTGATCAGCATGAATGGGTTTATGTAAAGAAGAGCTGGCTGAGCTGAGCTATAAAGTCTGTAAATAGTTGTGGTTGTCAATAATCCGAGCATATAGCCTACTACAGAAGCAGTGAAATATGGCTTGTGGAAGCTCAAACTCTCCTTCACACTCTCAAAGTTGCTTATCGTAAACGACTCCTTGCTCGCAGTGATGTGCCTCATGAAGTCGTACCGAAACATCATTGCACAGTAGATCCCCGGCAATGCAATGTCTCCAATGCCCAGGATCGAGAACTTCATTTGTACAGAGCCTGGAGCCTGGGGGATCAGCAGCCTGATTGGGTAGTCGAACTGAGAAGCAACCGTGACCATGACATCAGAGCCGAAGACCCAGAAGATGTCGTAGAGCATCATGCCGAGTAGATAGATGACTGCGTTTTTGTAGTTGGTGACTAGGAGTTTGTCGAGGAAGTAGACAGAGAAGCTCATGGCAAGAGTGTTGTTCAGGATCCAGTTCTTTGTTGTGTGATAAGATTTTCCTCCTGAGCTTACATATCCTGAAGCAAAATATAAGAAAGTAATGTATCCTGATACTCATATTCATAATAAGCTTAGATATGTTTGTCTAAACTCCATTCTTCCAATTTTTATATTCTCTAAAAATGCAGCTGGTCTATCTAATGATCCTGCTCCAAATTTAATGACCAAATATCTCATTGTCGATGCAAGATTGATTGTTCCAGTACATCCAATAAATAGCATCAAAAATGTTCTCTGAATGCTCATTGATATAGTTGCGTACGCAAGCATAAGGAATATAGATGAAATCATTGGGAATAACCAAACCATCTGAGTTGTAGATAGGAGTCCTGACAGAATACTCTTCTGAGTGCTTTCCTCATCTCTTTTCAAAGAATACTGATCAAGACTCTTAATGCTTCCAATGTATATAATACATCCTGAGAATACTGTGAATCAAACCTCAATAGGAATATCAATGATTGTGCTTGTGTAAGTCAACACTCAAATTATCAAGAGCATGGTTTGCAATATTGGTATTTCCCTATACTTTCAGCCAGAATTTTCTTACATCTGCTTACGATGTTGAATTGTACTGATTTGGGTCTCTATTTTGAGCTCCTCTTTGGAACCTCCCTATTAGATTATTTGCTCAATATACCTTTTTCCTGTCCCTCGTAGTATCCATTTTCAATTATTTATTAAGCTAAAGGGGTTTTGGGGTTTTGGGGTTTTGGGGTTTTGGGGTTTTGGGGTTTTGGGGTTTTGGG